ACGACACAGCACCGACGGGCAGCGAAGGAACTCCAAAACTCACACCTTGTGCCGTCTCGCAGCTCCCCATTACGCCAGGGGTGCGTAACCCCTCGTAAAGCGTAACCTTTTTGCGAACAGGCCCCACGGGGGCGGCATCTCCCTCCGCGGCACCTGCATCCTCCGCGCCCGAGGCCACCGGCAACGGCGACCGACTCCGAACGGTCGAGGGCGGCATAGCCGGCTGAACGACAAGGCTGGACGTTGCCTCGGACATCTTGCGGTCCAGCACCTCGATGGCGCGCTTGATGCCGCCGAGCTCGCCGGCCATGGAGGCCGTTTCCCGAGCATGGTTCGCAGCCATGCTTTCCACTCGTTCGGAAACCGATTCCTGCGCGTTTTGCTGCGCTTGAACGGCGGCGCCGAGGTCGCCCAGCACTCGCGCCGCTTGGCGCAAGCTCTCATTGGCAATCGAAGCCTCCTCGGAGGCCTTTCCCGTAGCATTGGCCAGCGCCTCCAACCGCGCATCGTGGCCTCCTTTCTCCGATTCCAATGCCACCAGCCGTTCGCGTACCTCTGAAACATCCTCCTGAGTCCTTGCGAACCGTCCGCCATCGATCGCGCTTCGGCTACCAGACCTTCATCCATTGGGCTTAACTTTGTTATTCAAAATGCGCCTGCTTCCGCAAATTTTCCTCTATCTCGTCGATGATGGTTCCACTTTTGTTGATTCAGTTTTGAGTTCTTTGCGCGAATTTTCAGACAATAATTCTTATTTCATTGAAGCCACGGTTTGTATTTGGCCTCACACTCTTCCAGCCTGGCGCGCTGATCAATTTAAATGGTTTCTGTGGATTAATTATCTGCCGTAGATCCTTCCTCGCAATGCTCGCATCATGTTTGCGCCGCAGCTTGCCGCGGCCGATTGATTCGCCGCCAGCTCGAGCTGCTGCCCGAGCGACTCGCCCATGCCGCGGAGAGCGGCATTCTGCTGCTGCCCGGCCGAATGGCTCCATTCTGCGACCGCAAAAAGGGTCGCTCTCCTCGCAGCAGCCGCGGCCACAGTCCCCACTTGGCGCAGCAATAGCTGCTCCGGTCGATCGTCTTCCTCGCTGTGCTGCAAAGCCGTCACTCCTCCACCGTTTCCATTCAGCTCCATGGGGGTCGGCCCGCCTCGATAGGGCACCAATTGCCCGGCCGATTGGTCCCCCGGATTCCCAGACTCCTGGCGAGGATCCCCACTCGCCATTCCGGCCGTCGGCCGGTGTGTTCTCGCCGCTCGAACGCTCCGCGCTCCGAAACCAATGATGCAGGGAGCTTCGTTGCTCCCGCGGGCGCACAGGTCGGATGAAACGGGGAGTCGGAATCCCCGGGCGGTTACTACATTTGTACATTATACAAGATTGTTTTTAATTGCTCCGTTCATTGTCCCATGTCCTTTGTAACCACCCCAGAGCCAGTTTACCCAACTCAGACCCATTTAGGGTAATCAAACATATCTAACTCATCTACAGAAGCAACCGTATCACCCGTATCCTAATACCTAAAGTGGTTATTATAGATTGAGGATAGTTATCTTGGGCAGGGCGTCCCCCACACCAAGGGCCAGTAGTAGGGCATCCCCTACATCAGGCCGGTGTGTGTAACAGCCTCTACGGTGCATCAGTCGGAAGGGCGGATTGGGTCCAGCGTTGCCTTGCACGCCGTTCACAGGTAGGTAGTGACAACAAAACGAAATGTTCGTTACAAGGTTCCCAGCGTCTTGTCCCCACGGCACACAACACGGTTACATAACCCTCAAGTCACCATGTACTTAAACCACCGTCTCCACAAGCACCCAGACCATCCTCAAAGCCTTCATTTCTATATAGTGAAATGGCCCGAAAATGGCCAAAATCCCAAAATCGCCTTGCTGCGCTCCACGCTCCGCCAAGGCACGGATATTTGGTCCATGCACATTTGCATCGCATCTCACTCCGCTCGAATAAAGAACCAAAGACAATGTTCACACAACATCGTGCTTCTATGATGTGGCAATCACTCCCACATGTCAAGCTTTGGTGATTGTCTCTACTATCCTATCAAAATCCTCTACACCATCATGGCCGTTAAGCTCTATTAATTCATGCCTTGTCATGATCCCTCCCATGCATGAAACTGATCCACTGACTGATTGTACTGAGGCGTAGTCAAGTCGGTGTTGCCTGGAGGTTTCTCGTGCTACCTCTTAAATTCTACAAAAGTAGAACGTAGACCTTAAGCCAAAACTAAGCTCATGAGGCTTTTCTTTAGCACTCTGCTTCTTGTGATTAGAATGGTGGATCAGTGGAAGTTGTTGGTTAGTTGACCACTATCTACAGTGTCCCTTTTAGGGACAGAAGCACTATGGTAGACCTGGGAGCGCCTCTAACAGGCTTCTGGTGTATGCCAAACCCTTCCAGAGACACACCCTTACCGTCTCCTATCTAATATTCTATTTGTTCTGTTCTGTTCTAGGTGCTTTCTGAGAGGTGGGTTTCTCTTTGCTCGTTTTTTCAGTGGGCCCCCACTGGGTAATTCCCGGATCCATTGAAAAAAATGGGTGGGGTTTATAGGGTTACCCTTTGGAATCAGACTATAAATTAGACCCATTAATAGCTACAAATACCAGAAGCCAAAGCCCAGAAATGAAATTCAGTTGGTGATGGAAAAAATAGATGATAAAGTACAACGACGCCCTAGGGGTGTATATCCTACGATTGGAGGAGCACTCGCAGTGGCGCTCAGTACTAAGGTGCTCGAGCATACTATCAGGATGCCGGAGTCTATGACCATAAGCGGGGAAGCCTGCCCCCAAACACTATCAATCCGGTCCAGCCCAGGGTCTCACCCAACCTTCCCTAGGTCCGGCAAAGATGATGTGTGGGAGCCGACATGGATGGCGATTAAGGCCAGTGTGGACAACGTGGGCCCTAAAGTTGGCAGCTCTATCAACCAAAATAGAAGCCCAAGACTGCACAGTTGAGAGTGTAGCTAGTAAGTCCCCCACTATGGTTAGTAAAGCTACTCAACCCTAGTAAGGTGCTACCAAAATATGGGGTGTTGGATGTGACGAGGTTGCTTGGGGTGTAGGCTTAATTGGCATTTTTTATAGTAGGAATTAGTAACCTCTCAGTTTGACCCTTTGAAACCCCCAAATCCATTAAGAAATAAGGGAGTTATGGCCCTATGAAATTGAAATACTTAGGGCTCTAGATGGATTGGGGGTAGTAATTCAGTCAAGGGAGAAACGGGTCGGTCGTGGGTGAGCGTGGGACGGTGATATAGTGCCCAGATGTGCACGTATCTTATCTTATCATGATGTGACTTCAATGGACCCGTGATTGGGCATCACGCATGCGATAAGTGTGCGCACATATAGTGAATTGTGTAACTGCATTCGTGACCCATTGCTTGGTCTCCTTCGAGCCAACGAACCGCTATCGTTGTGCCGCCACCTCTTGCCAATAGCAGGCCCTGGGGAATAATCCTTATCGTGACTTGAGCCTACCGCATGACCACCGAAGCGTCTACCCCAGATACGCCCACCATTCAGGTGGAGGGGCCAGCCGAACTCCAACGGTTGTGCCGCAGGGTATGGCGACCCCAACGCCTCCAAAAACTAGTGGCTACCGATGGGGCCACAATAAATTGGTTTTGGAGCGCAAAGCTCAGAGCCCGAAGCTGAGCAAGAGCCGCAACAACCTAGAGTGACTAGGCGGCCTGAGAGGGTTGCCGATTTCCAGAAACCTCCATTACCCCGGGCAACAGTCAGCACCTTTGCGGGTGTTAAATCCAAAGGTTGGGTCGGATTTAACGTGTGTGCCCCCCTCCACAGCCACGACAACCCAAGACAGCAACTTTCCCGGTCCAAAAAATGTGCGGTTCGCTCATTGTGGCGAGCCTCTGACCACCCGCCCACTGTGGGGCCCAGCGTTCATCCAGCAGCCCCTGGGGGACCAGGCACTCCCCCCTGGGCGCCCCAGCAAGCGGATCGGCGTGGGATGCTGGCGGGCAAGACGCAGCATACGCCGCCGGCCGCGGGGCCGGGGTACCTGATCCGCGACCCAGGGGCGGACGCGGGCCCGTCATCTTCTGCCGGTCGAGGATGCGGTCGGCCCCACCAACCCGCATGCCCGCGCCTGATGATGCGGAGGAGGCGTCAGGCGGTGCGTGAGGCGCGTGTCTTCAGGACAGACTTCTTCCAGAAGTCAGCGGGCAGCGGTGGCGCCGCAGGTGGGTGGCGCGGGGCAAAAATTGTTACAACGAGATAAAGAAAAAGGGCATGCAAAAGGGTGCTACCTCTGTAGCGCGTGTATACGAGACTCTTTTTCATACTGTGAAAGATGATATAGAGCCTGGGTGGCGCTGGGCGATCGGAGGGGAGAGTCCGGGATGGGAGGGGAACATGGGATCCTTTGCTCCAGGTGTCCTCATCGCTGTGAGCTGCCAATCCAAGGCAACTGGCATCAGCCGTCGCTGCATATCTCATTGGGGCTTCCATCAGCGTGAGACTGTCACAATTCCTGCACGGAGTTGTTGTTGTCTGAAACCAACAGTCTCGAAGCAACTTTGCCAGTGTGTTCCCAACTCGTCTGGGCGATTGTGGTGGCGCCTCGCCGCGCTTTGTGGTTGCGGTTGTGGGCTCCGGCGGGCGAGGCATTGTGTCCGAATCGCTGTCGCCTGGTCACGTGATGTTGGCAAGGATGATTGCAACGTTGTTGAAAGTGGGCGCATGGGTCCTCACCCCAAGGTGCATGGGGATCGCTTCGTCTTTCGGGGGCAGTTTTGGGCGAAGGATTCTTATCCCGGCCCCACGGCGCGCCTGGGGTGAAGGGCGGCGTTTGCGGGGAACCGAGAGTGGCGTGTTGGGAAGTGTGGGGACCTAGCAACATTCCCGGACGTCCCATCGCCTCTTTGAGCAATGAAATGCTGTTTGCAGAGCAAGGTGTTTTGCGCAAGGCGGACAGAGAACGGCCGGTCGAGGCGCTAATCTTGCACTCATGCCGTTTGCAGCTCTGGACGGGCTGAGCCCCAAGAAGTCCACTTTCGGATTGCAGGTGGAAGCGCAGCGCCTCCTGCTGCCGACCCTGACCAAGACGGATGAGCAGTTTGCAGAACAGGGGATCGTCTTCATGGAGGGCCACGAGGGCGTCAATCTGGAGGAGCTGAACGACCTATTCGAGCAGGTTGACTGTCCTGTGCGTTTGGTGCCTTCGAAACTTGCCAAAAATTTCGGTAGTTGTGCATTGCATTCGGCTGAGGTGATAAGGTAGCACGCCCGCCCTGTTGGGAGAGTTGTGGGTCTTTTGCCGCCTTGCAGGACATTGCAAGACGAGTTAAATCCCTAAAGTGATTAGACGCCTGGATGACAATGGCAGCAGACACTCCACGTATTCCTCTGCCACGTATCTGGCAATGCATTGGGCATGTCAAGATGTGTCTGCTCAGGATCAGACGCAGTCTCAGCAGAACTGAAAATCGCAAAAGGGCAGCCTGGGCCTCAGCATGTGGCGGAAACCTGCACGGCTTTGTGGCCCAATCAATAAGATACTGCCTGGACATAAGGTACCACCTAAACGAAAACGCATCGTGCTGTAGATACTGCATGGTGGGCAGGACGTTCAGGCTGACCCAGGCGATCTGGATCTGTGACCTGTTCCAGAGCATAGTTTCCAGTACTGGAATTGCAGAGAATAATGTCTATGCATCTGACCCACAGGAAGTCCTGCCAGGGCCTCTATCCCACATGGTCCATGTATCACCAGTCACTGCACAAGATCATCTTCTGTGCTGTGGGCAAGTTTCACAGCTCCTCTGCTCAGAGTAAAAGTGCAATGTGCAAACTGTTTTGTTTGTGGGAGCCGGTGTGGTTGCATAAACGCACCCACGTCAATCATCTTTGATATTGTTTGTCAAGAGTTGACAAATCACCTCTGACAAGTAGGCCCATTGGCCTGTTAGGCCTGAGCCCATGGCCCCATTGCATGCTGTTGCTCTCAGGTTGGCTTCCCTCGGCGAGACCCTGACAAGCTGAAGCTTGCCCTGGAGAAGACTCACACAGTCATCTGGATACGGCATGCGAAGAAGAGCCGTTGGGCAAAGCTCAACCAGCTCCTTGGCTTTGGCCGGGCCATGAGCGATGGCTCAATATCTGCCTCGATATGGGATGTGGCCGTGCTTCCTGCATGGCAGCGATCTGGGCTGGGCAGGGCATTGCTGGAGCGCCTGCTGGTACGCTTGAGGCAGGACCATATCGACACCATCAGCTTGTATGCAGAGCCCTCAGTGGTTAAGCTATATGAGAAGCTGGGCTTTGTGACAGATCCGCAGGGCATCAGAGGCATGGCCTTTCAGCGGAAGAGTGCCATTGGAATGAAGGTGGCTGCAGGAGAGAAGAGAGCATCTGTGGCAAAAGGCTAGCGCTGCGAATTTTTGCTGTGTGTGTGCCATTGCGCACAGTTGTGTCCTTGGGGTAGAGAGAAGAGGGGCCTTAGTGTACTATATGGGGCCGCAGGCTGGGCATTTGGTGTTTGGTTTAGACAGGAATGGTACAGCCTTGGGACAGGTGCAAGGGGTTACCAACACACAGGTGATTGCAGGGCTGCATTGTCCGCAAAGCGATGGTAAGCATGCCTGGGCGCATTCCACAGTTGCCCATCATCGTTTTGGCTGCATGCGCTGTGAAGAGCTAGATCAAAGCAGATCTCAGCTTGGAAGAAGGCTCTGCCAGGTGTGAGGGAAGATTGGGGAGGTACTATGCACTTTTCCACTTGAGTCCAAAGGGTGGCACTGCCCACCTTGTCCGTGCGACCATTGTATTGATGTGAACAGCTCATTGGCAGGAGTCCAATAGGTGGTTTGCACACCTCACCAAGGCCCGAGGGAGAGTGCAGTGCGAATGCTGGTGCATGGGACCCAGGTTTCAGGCAAAACTTGATGTGTGTCAACCAGGCAACAGTGGGTCGCCATCGACCCGATGTGTCCCCAGCCTCTGGCCACAAAGCATGCCCTTTGGGCCATCGATCCTCCAAGACAGCACTTCGCACATCATGGGAGGATGGGCGCTGTGTAGCAAGAGACCGAAATCAGCTCTTCAACTTTTGAACAACTTCTTCAGTTTGCACTCTCGCCAGTTCGTGTCTGGCCTTCTGACTTCACGAACTGGCGGCACTGCCACTCCATGGTTCTTTCACTCTCACAATTGGATGCACTCGATCTGTCAAACCAACTCCAACGAATATATTCCGACTGCTGAATTTGGCATCTTTGGCGCACACATCTGAGTTTTTCCTTCCAGCTCCTAGCACGAACAACTCTTAGCTGCTATCGGCAATCTTGGTTCTCCCTCAGCGCACATTCAATCAACACATACATTGCTCATCACAACGCACTGCGAGTGCGCTCAACATGCCTACTGTCCGCGCTGCACTTTGCGGATTTCGCCGCAAGACCTGGTGACGTCCAGCACATCGCCGAAAGCAACAGCTGCGCCATTTCTCCCCTGGCCCATCGATGCAACCTCTTTTCATCATTCTCAAGTGATATGACACACAACCTCTCCAGAATGTACGAGTCCCTCTGTCTTTTCCGTGCAGATCCCTTCTCCTTCCGCCGACAAGGCCAACGTGGGTCAGTGGGTCAGTGGGTCAGGGTGAAGGGTGTCGAAACAGGAAGGGATCTTCAGAGAAAGACAGAGCGACTAATTTCGTGTCCAACATCTCCTGTCCTTCCCCGCGCTGAGCGGACAGAAACAATCAGCACCCCCAGTCGGGCCAACGGGGGTCCCGCCCACGGGGACCTCCCACCCAATTTTGCCGCGCTTTTCGCTGTTGCCCATCGCAATGGCAAACCCTAGTCTGCCAACACACACCGCACCGGATCCAGCAAAGCAGGCGCACGGAGCGCCGGAGCCAGCCAGCCAGGTCGGACGCCACTGCGCAGTAAGACCGCGCACACCGCAGGGCCATGACGAACAGGCGCAACCGCGGCGCGGAGCAGCCCGTGGTGAAGATCGAGCACACGCTGAAGCCGGATGAGATTCAGGTACGTCGATCGAGCAACCACGCGCTATCCCCCCCCCCTCTCCCCTCCTTCTCTCTGCCCCCCGGGATTGTGGACCCTTTCAACACTGGCGCTTAGCCATTGTTTGTGTCGTGGCCGCCTGTCTGCTGTCCATTCGGGCATCAGATCCCTCAAAGCGGGGGAGGCTGTCACCGCGAAAGACAAAATTGGACAAGCCCAGGTGATTGCGGCCCCTGCCGACGCTGGGGTTGAGCCAGTTCTTGCGTCTGGCCCGCCTGCCTGCTGTCCATCCGCTCATCGAATCCCTCCCCAGCGAGGTTCGTCTCTGCAAAAAGAAACTGAGGAGCAGATTGGGTCCATGTCTCGCATTCCCCTGACCAGCACGCTGGTCGATTGGCCGGCCGCGGTCCGTCCCGCGCGGGTCGACCGGGCTGTCCGTTTTTCTGAGCCCTAGCGGTTGTTTCGACTCGTCGCAATGCATCCCGTTGCGGGTATGACTTGTATCAGATAGAAAGAGGAACAGGACATGCAAAGGGCACCCCCTGGTAAGCAGGTGTGTGCGGGACTCTTTTCTGTGCTGTGAGACGTTGATGTAGAGTCTCCTGTGGGACATGATGAGCACGCAACAAAAGCAACACCAAAGGCAGGAAAACATGCAGTCAGGGGGTATCCTGTTCCGGGTGGACCTGGCTGTCCGATTTTTTAAGGCGATGCGCTTTTCGGGCCCACAGGCGGACTTCGAGCAGATCGTGTCCAACGGGAAGCGGATGGGGGAGAGGCAGCGAGCCGGGGCGTGCGCCCAGGTGGGCGCGGGGAAGGGCGAGGGCAAGGCGGATGCCAAGCTGAAGGGCGGGCAGGGGCAGCAGGGAGGGCGCTGGGGCCCAAATGGGCGCCTGGAAGCCAGGGTGGAGTCGTAGGCCAGTAGTCGGCACGACGATGGAGAGGAAGGAAGTGATGAGATTTGTCAAAAAGGGAGTTTCCCTTGTTGGAAACGGGTCATGTAGAGGCAGCCCCCACCCTGAACAAATGTGGGAAAGAAGGGGGTAATATTTGTTGCCAATGGAGAGAAAGGCCGGTCACGCAAAGGGCACCCCAGCATGAGCAGGTGTGCGGAAGAGGGGGCAAACTTTTGTTGCGAAGAGAAAGTGGTCCTGCAAAGGGCACCCCCTTCTGAGCAAGCGTGCAGAAGTAGGGGGAATCGTGCAAAATGGGCTTGGCTGGCGGACAGGCGCCAGTGGAGGGCACCCGAGCGGTGGAGACTGTGGGGCTGGTCGGGCTTGGCCCCTCCCAGGTGAGCGGGAGGGGGAAGTTGACTGGCCGGGTATTGGTGGACCTCATGAACAAGGAGCGTCGCAGCCAGGACGACGACTTGCCTTGTTAGGGAGGGAGGCGAGGGAGGCTGCCGCATGGACCTCTTGCAGCAGTTTATTCTTTGCAACTGACTGGCGGCTTGGGGCGGAGCAGCGAAGGCAGGCAGGGTGGGTGGCATGGTTCTTTGGGGGATATGCGATGCAGGGGACCCGCACAGGTCTGTTGCGGACAATTGTTGGTTGGGTAGGTTTACAGGGCGGGGGTGTGGGCGTCCTGCCCAGGTAAGGCAGTTGCGAGCGCCGTGGGTGGTGGGCTCGCAGCCTAAGGCGCTGGCTGTGGACTGTAGACCACATTATTCTGCTGCACAACACCATCATGGCGACAAATGATGGGGAAGATGGCGAGATGGCCTGATCTACAGACTTCGCATGCTGTCGCTGATGCTTTCTGCGTTGCTTTCTATTGGGGGAGACGGGGAGCTTTATATGAAAACGGATGGTACTTTTTTGGCTGAAACAGCAGGATCTTTGGTAGTTTTGTATGGGGTTAGGGCACAAGGGCTGGTGCAATTTTCAGCAAAGAAGACCGCGATTCGGCTAGAAAACTGCAGTGCAAACTTGATGCCTGTGGGTGAAGGGGGCCGTCCTGTATGTGAACGAGGTTTCATAATGAGGTGCATGGCACAGTCAATTGGTGCCACCATGAAATTCATGTAACTATGCAATGGGAAGGGATGGAGCTGTATCTAACCGTGCACCACAGCACATTTAGGCTGGCCTCCCTTTGGTCTCCCCTTGTCACTTTATGATTCAATGTTGATCGAAAAGAGGAATGCAATACAATGGGCACCTCCTGTGTGGGAAGATTGCAAGACTCTGTTCCCTACTGCTATATACGATGCAGAGTCTCAGAAGGCAGGGCGACAACATACAACAGCATCAGCAGGCACTCAAGATACCAGCTGGATTACCCATGCACCCAGGTGTCCTACTTGACGACACATGTGTGGTACCGAGGGCTGGCAGCCATACCAAGTCACTGGGTAATAGCAAGACCGCCGTCCATGAAGAAGGGAAGCACACACACCCTTGCAACTTGCACCACCAGTCATTTTCCACAAGCAGAAGGTGTGGTCCAATGTCAAACCGAAAACCACTAGACATGCATGATTAATCGCACAGATGCCAACCACAGTTTGAGTGCACGTCGAAAATGTGTGGAAGGGGAATTTTTACGGTTGTGTATTATGAATGTACTCCCAATCCTCCTAATGGCGGAATCCCATGGATGCCAGTTGTCATGACAGCCATGCCAATCAATGCCTTTGCGCATTGAAGGCGATGATGGCCACAGAAAGTTTCAGTCAGTGTTCATTGCCCTGAGATTGCAGTATTGTACACCACCCTAGCTGCAAAATGTGAAATGGGCAACGGATTACCGATGTAAATCATGATATGTTGTACGCATTGTGTGTGACACAGGACACTAAATGGAGTTGCTTGTGTAAGTAAGAACTACAAGAGAAAATGTTTTAATTGCATAAAGTTCCAATAGACGAGAAATTCCACATGTCCTGGGAGACATCTTTTTATTTGTAATGGGCGGGGGGAGGGGTGCTCTTGAGCTGAACGACTGCCACAGTTGCGAGTCCCCGAACAGACTCACACACCATTCTACAACGCGCAGAAGCCTGCCATGCATCCCCCACGCAGCACATTCTGCCATTGGCGTGAAATCAGCAGGCGCTGTGGTTTCTAGTGGGAACTTTCTACACCGCAGGGAACTTCTGTGTCTTGACTCGCTCAACCAAAACCAACTCATCACAAAGCAGTGTTCTCGCCAGCAATTGGCTAGTGACAACAGTATTCTGTGATGAATTGCCTTTGGTTGTTTGCTTGCTGGTCTGTTTGCTCGTTTGGGTTTTGCCTGTTTGGTTTTTGGTTAAAAACGCCATTCACATGTGGGACTTGTCACCCTCACCGCCCTGGACAGCTTCTCGTCTCATCCAGAAATCGGAATGGAGTTGCAGCAACGTTGACGGGCTTGCTGCCACGAGTTTGTTGAGGCAGTGCCTGTCAATGTTGCTA